GAGGGCAGATTCAGCGCCCTGGTGTGGGTGGGGGCCCCCGGCCAGCCCCCCGTGAAGCTCATCCAGGCGGTGGCAGGCTCTCGGCACTGTGCCCAGGTGTGCCCCCTCCCAGTCCTGGGGCCCTGGGCGGGGCGGGCGGCAGGGAGTGGCCCGTGGCAGGACAGGGCTGAGTAAGACCTCAGACCCACCAAGCCCTCCACCCACACACCTGCCAGCAGTTTCTCCCCTTGCTGCTCCAGCCCTCGGAAAGGGCACCTCTGCCCGCCCAGACTTCAGAAATGCCCCCTTTCCTCCTAGATCTTGGTTCTCTGGAGCAGTGAGAGGCCACTCCCATCTAGGTGGCCAGAAACAGCAGTGCCCTTGAGGGTCATTGGCGGGCACAGGAAGGTGAGGGATGGGGGCACGGAAGGGGCGGGTTCATGCTGGGGAGAGGGGACACCCACGGGTGCTTCACAGGGGTCAAGCCACGCTGGGCTTCCAGTCGGGCCAGAGGAAATGAGATGGCAGGTTTCTGCTGTGGCCCAGTGGGAATGCCTGTCCCCTCCCCGGCCCTCCTGGAGGTGCTTACAGGGCTTTGGGGTCTGAGTGATGAGGGAGGGCCGAGGAGGGAAGGGGGACTCCTGGGGTCTTGAGGGGCAGATGGTAGCAAGCTGGGCCGGGAGGGGTGGCTCCCGAGAGGCTGGGCTGGTGCTTGCTGTGTGGTTCAGAGCGGCCCCTGCGTCCTTCCGGACCTGCTGCTTTTGAACGAGGGGTGCTTGACCCCTGCTCCCAGGGCTGGTGAGTATCTAACCTGGCAACAGAGGGCCCTGAGAGAGGAGATTGAAATCCCCGTGGTGAGGGAGGTGCCCACATCCAGGAGTGAGCTGCAGGCGGGCGTGCAGTGCCCAGACCTGAAGGGCAGGGGTTCTCACTGTGAGGCACCCTCTCCCACAGGCCAGCGATCGCTTCTTCCCACACGCTGCCATCAACACGGATGCCGTGCTCAGCCTCGACGCACACAGCAGTCTCTCCACAAGCGAGGTGAGGCCCTGCCGTGTGGGTGGGCACAGAGGGGTTCTGTCGGAGGGGCCCTGCAGCCCTTCAGGTTCCCTGAGCGGAATCTCCCACAGGTCATGAGGCCCAAACTCTCGCTCTACCCCAGCAAGTCGGCCTTCTCTTTAGACATCTAACAGAGGAGGACCCATAGGTGGTGCAGGCGCTAGACTCCCACATAGGCAACTGCAGTTCAAGTCCCAGATCTGGTGGCTTGAAAATCACACCAGGTGTGTGTGTGTGTGTGTGTGTGTGTGTGCGCGCCCAAGATCCCAAGTGGAGAATGGAGAACGGATTGTGGCATGACCATCCCCCCGAGAGGTGATTTCTCACTTTCCTTCTCTTTGTCTCTCCCTTTCCCTCTCTCTGAGTGCACGCACCCTATGGTAAAAACCTTAAAAAGAAAAAGAAAAGGAAAGAGAAAGAAAGAAGGAAAGGAGGTGTTCCACAGACTCTTTTTAAATTTTCTTTAAGTGAGATTTTTGTTATAGGGTGTGTGCACTTGCCAGAGACAGAGAAAGCAAGAAATCACACTCCTCCAGGGGGGATGGCCATGCATCAATCCCTTCTCCTCCGTTCTCCTCTTGGGATTCTGGGCACACATGCACATGAATTTTAAGTTGCCGAGTACACATGTGCCCAGCATGAATTTTAAGTTGCTGAGTACAGGACTTGAACCGTGGTCATCTACGTGGGAGTCCAGCAAGGCAATCATTATGACATCTGCTGGTCCCGAGGAACCGTGGTCATCTATGTGGGAGTCCAGCAACGCAACTATTATGCCATCTGCTGGTACCGAGGTTCTTTTAAAAAAAAAAAAGAATTATTTTATTTAATTTTATTCTTTTTTTTTTTTTATTTTATCTGAGCCAAGACAGAAAGTGAGAAAGCAAGCCACCAGGTCCAGGATCCGAACTGCTGTTAGCCATGTGGGAGTCCAGAGCCATAAACGCCATGCTACCTGCTGGCCCTACAGACATTGTGTTTGTGGATGCTAACCAAAGAAGTTCCCCTAAGCATCCCCCAGAAACTTCCAAGCTGTGCTTTTAGCAGATTCCAAGAAACCGCTCCCATCTCCCCTTCTCCAGAGTCCTGCCCCCGCCCTCGGCCAGGTGTCTCTGGATTCCTGGTTGGTGGGAAGCCCCTCCTCACAGCTCACTCAAATCCCTCCTCAGGTCGACTTCGCCTTCGCAGTATGGCAGAGCTTCCCGGAGCGGATGGTGGGCTTTCTGACCTGGAGCCACTTCTGGGACGAAGCCCGGGGTGGCTGGGGCTACACGGCTGACAGGACCAACGAGTTCTCTATGGTACTCACCAGAGCTGCCTTCTACCATAGGTACAAACACCCGGCCCTGCACAGGGGTCAGAGGGCCAGAGCCCCCTTCCCGAACCAGGAGCAGGGTGCTGGAGCCGAGACCCAGGTTCAAGGCCCAGGTCTGCTGCTTCCCAGTTGTGTGATCCCGGGCAAGCCTCCTGACGGAGTTTCCGTCTTCTCATCTGTGAAGGGGGATGAATTCGCCCCGCAGGGCCGGCGCCATCATCAGATGAAGCCCCTGGCGTCCATGGTAGCTGGTGGTATTTAAGTGGAGCCATGGAGTGGGAAAGGGCACTTTTGGGGCCTGGTGGTGGTGCAGGGTGACAAGAGAATAGTTTGATGCTTTATAAATGCGGGTGTGATGTGTGGGGGACCATCCCAGGCCTTGTAGGAATGGTCTGAACTGCTCCCCCCACCCCACCCCACCGATGTCACAGAGCAGGGACTAAATTCTGGACAGACTCTTTAGAAGGGTTTCTTCAACACCTTTAAATCAAAGGCAAAGGGACTTCAAAAAGTTCATGATGGACAGGCCCCATAGCCTAGTGGTTAAGGGAGCCGGATCCCGCATGGCCAGCCGGGGTTCAAATTCCTGCCCCAGTCGCCTGACGTGATGAGGAGATGGAGAGGGGACTGTGTTGTGACCACACCCCACGGGGGACGCTTTCTCCCTCCATCTCTCTCTGGTGAGTACACGCATCCTCTGGCAATTAAAAAGTTTCCGAATAGAATTAAAGGACAGGTTTATTTTGGTGCAGAAACATGTGAAATTCATGGGTAGTTTTTACACGAACTTGAGTTTTCGCATGAACTTTCTGTATGCACGATCTGGATCTGGAACCTCTTTTGGATCCACGCAGGAGCTCTTCAGGGACTCCGTGTAGACTGAAGAGTAACCCTAAGGTCTCCAGGATGGCCCCAGGTCGCCCTTCAATGGTGTAAAAGGCTCACGGGCAGCACCTGCAGCTGGAGGGCTGCCATGGCTGACGGTTTCAGAAGCAGCTCATCCCACCCCTCCTGTTTGGGTCTGGGTTGGGTCTCAAAGCCAGAGGGTGAAGGTCCCGGGACGCTGTGAGGCACGGGGCAGGGAGTACACCAGTGGCTGGGACATGCCAGGGGCTCAGTGGAGAGCTGGTCGCGCTAGGGGTTGGAGCTGAGGTCGCCATGGCTCAGAGGGGACAGTGTTTTCACAGGGACTTGAGGTCTGGGGTCGAAGGGAGAAGTGAGGTCAGGAGGGACAATGAAAGCCAGGTGTGGTGGGGGTGAACTCGGCCCAGCTTCTCCCTGCTCTCTCCCCTTGCAGATATTACCACACTCTCTTCACCCACTCCCTGCCCAAGGCTCTGAGGGTCCTGGCAGATGAGGCCCCTGCCTGCGTGGACGTGCTGATGAACTTCCTAGTAGCCGCGGTCACCAAGCTGCCCCCTATCAAGGTGCCCTACAGCAAGCAGCAGGAGGCCGCTCCCCTGGTGAGGGCCGAGGGGGCGAGTCGGCACAGAGAGGGCTGGTTGGGGAGGAACTCCCTACGAGGCCGCTCCGCTGGTGAGGGCCGAGGGGGGGAGTCGGCACAGGGAGGGGCTGGGGAGGAACTCCCTGCCTAACCCACGCCCTGCTACAGGGACACAGAAGGCCATCAACGAATGTCTCCTCCCCCTCCTTAGGCGCCCTGGGGCCCGGGATCTACAGCGCAGCCGCAGTCGCAGCCCCCAGTCCCGGACTGCATAAACCCGATGGTAGCGGGTTTCGGCCACATGCCCTTGGTGTCCTCTCGCCTGCGTCTGGACCCGGTGCTGTTCAAGGACCCAGTTTCCGTGCAGCGCAAAAAATACCGCAGCCTGGAGAAGCCCTAGAAGAGAGCTGCGGAGATCTCAGCCCTGCTCAGATCTTAACCCTGCTCAACCCGCCTCTGGGACACCAGAGAGCCAATCATGAAAGCCCGTCGGCCAGCACGTCAGACCCAATTGGCCAATCAGCCGTGGCGCCCTGGGCGGCGCGGGAGCTCTCTGCGGCCGGGGTGCCTGGGTATATGGGTGAACCCCTTGCATGAGTGCTTTTCTGTGCTTCTCCACCGAGCTAATATCTACTTGTCTTTCAGGTCTTCGCTTTCTCCAGGGACTTGCCTGACTCTCATCCCCGCCCGCGACAGATTCGGTCTCCTCCCGGGTGCATGGTACCGTGCATTGTGCGCGCCGTTGGGCCCCGGGAGGGGCCTGTGAGCCCCGAATGGCGGGACGTGTTCTCTCTGGCTGGGCAGGTGCACCGCAAATACTTGACAAATGATAGGAGAGACATTAACTGCGTGCAGCCCTATGCCGGCCGAGAGCGTGGACACGGTGTGCCAAAAGAAAAAACTCCGTCCCCCACGCCCCAAGACTCCTAGTCCGGCAGAAAGGCAGCCACCTGCAGGTGTGTGAGCAGGGAGATGTGCCAAGTGAGGGGCGCGCCTTGGGCCCTGGCCTCAGCCGCGGCCAGCCGCCTGCATTACCGACGTGTGCCACTAGAGGTCAGCGCCACACCGCACTCTCAGAAGGCGTGGCGTCTCCACGTGCCCACCTGGTCAGAGGACGGGCAAGGGGACCGGGAGGGGTAACGTGTGTGCAGCTGAAATTTGAAAACTGCAGGGAGGCATCTGAAATAGCTTTACCCCGCTGATCTGCACACTTGGAGCCCAGTAAAGAGCCACTTCCAGGTGGGCTGGGCAAATGCTGGGCCTGTTCCAAGCGCTGGCTGAGGGTCGAGTAGAACTGGGGACGCTGGTTTCTCCTGGATTCACCCACCTGGAACTGGAATTATCGCTTCCGAAATAAAGCGCGTGTCCTTGCTCCCTCACGCTCAGGCTATAAATACCCTTACAGCAGCTGCGCGGGGGGGGGGGGGCTGCAGGGTGGGGGCGGAGGGTCCAGCCCAGGTCCTGGGTGCTGGGCGTTGGGTGTTTTCCTGTCCTGACGGCCTCATGGCTCTGGAAACTCCCGTGACTCGCCTGCTGGCTGGGACACGCTGTCCTCTAAGGCCTTTGCAAGGCCTCCCACCCTCTGCCTCCAGCTTGACCACTAGCCCTGGCTCAAGACCATAGTGGGGAGCAGAGGGCCCCTCCCTTGTGAGGCCTGGGGCTGTCAGATGCTTCAGGTACAAGGGCCTAGAAATTGAAAGGGCTGGCTGGAAGGCCGGCTGGCCCAGAGTCAATGGTTGAAGGGGTGAGGAAGCACAGCTACAGCCCAGGCAGCCTTCCCGGCAGGGAGGGCTGAGTGCCAGGCCCAGCCAGGGCAGCGGCACCTGCCAATCACAGCTGTGGCACCCAGGACACTGAACTGCCTGGGCATGGCCTCGCCTGTGGGAGGGCCCTGCCCCTGGGGCTTACACTGTACCAGCACACAGCCCAAGCCTGCCACGAGGGGGCTGGGGAGGCTGGGGAGGCTAAGGGGATGAGGCCGAGATCCCAGGCCTGCCTCTCACTGGCTGGGCGACTTCAGGCACGTGACTCGACCTCTCTGAGCCTCAGTGTTCTCATCTACAAAGATAAAAGACTGTCGGGCCCAGCAGGGAGCGTAATGGCTATGTCGCTGGACTCCCACGTAGTCGACCGCGGTTCGTGTCCCGGACCCGGTGGCTTAAACTCGCGCTGGGGCATGTGCGTGCGTGCCCAAGATCCCGAGAGGAGAATGAAGGAGAAGGGATTGCGGCGTGGCCATCCCCCCGGGGGGGGGTGATTTCCGGCTTTCTATCTCTCTGTCTCTCTCTGTCTGTCTGGCGAGCGCACGTGCCCTACAGGGAAAATCTCTCCAAAAAAAAAAAGATAAAAGACTGTCTCTCGAGAGGGCTAAAATGACTTGGCGCACAGCGAGGCCCAGGGCCCAGGTTCTGGGAACCTGTGGTGGCACCCCAGAGCTCGCGGTGGAGGGGGCACAGCCACCAGCAGCCCACACAACTTCCAGGCCAACGCTACAGACTCCCTGCAGGCCTTGAGGTGCCGAAGGAACACCTGAGCAAGGTTGCAGGCAGTCCCAGATGACAGCACTGGAAAAGCACATTTTTTAAAGAGTTTTTGCCTTAGGACACATACACTCGCGCGCGCGAGAGAGATACAGTAAGAGGGAAAGTGAGAAGTCAGCCCCCAGGGGGATGGCCATGCGCAGTCTTGGGCATCCACGCACATACGCCCAGCGTGGTTTTCAAGCCGCTACGTCCAGTGACGTAACCACTATGCAATCTGCTGGTCCTGGAAAAGCACACTTACAGTCAGGGAGGTAGAGAGGCTCCACGTGGGGGCAAGCCATACCCCTCCCCTGCTGTGGGCCAGGACAGAGTCCTGAGAGGCCAGGCAGCCCACCTGGCTCTCAGCAGAGGCAGCCTCAGGTCTTGGCAGACTGGCTCTGGTCCTTGTGACAACCCGGTGACCTGGGTGTTACATCCGCAACCTGCAGAGGAGCGTGGAGGTGCAGCGGACAATCGGTGGGCTAGCGCCACTTGCTTATAATGGGGGGCACTGGCCAGCAGATCCAGGGCTCCCTCTTACCGAATGGACTCCTTGCCTCCCTGAGACTGGTCAACACAAGCCCTCCAAGTTGGAAGCACGGTCCCTGCTGGTTGGCCCGAGGCTGTCCAGCCCTCATCCTCCATCCCAGGCTGACTAGGTCAGGCCACGCAGGCAACAGAGCTGGCCCAATGTACCTGCCTCAGGGCTCTGGGGTCCCCTGGGACACTCAGGACCAGGTGAGTGGCCTGGGGACTGCGAGGCTGTCAGATTTCAGCGGCCCGGGTTGAAATCTGTCCCCAGCACCCGTGGCACGGCTCTAGGGTGGCGTGGCTTCCTGGGTGGGGGAACAAGGAGAGAGGGCAGCAGGCGGGTCCTTCCCTCGTGAGGGGCCTCCCCTCCCGGAAAGGGGGTCGCGTGGCTCCCAGCTGAAGTGACTAAAGCCTGGACAGTCTTCAGGGCCTCCCTGGTTCCCCATCTCAGGGAGACGGATCAAAGTGCAGGGGCCCCCAATTCCTGACCCCCAGAACTATACTCTTACAGGTAGAGGGAGGGGCTCTGTTCTTTTTTTCTTTTTTTTTTTTTTTAGAGGTTTTTGCTATAAGGTGCGTGCACTCGCCAGAAAGAGAGACAGAGAGACAGAAAGCGAGAAATCACCCCCAGGGGGGATGGCCATGCTGCAATCTCTTCTCCTCCATTCTCCTCTCAGGATCTTGGGCACGCACATGCGCCCGGCGTGAGTTTAAGTTACTGGGTCCGGGACTCAAACTGCGGTCGACTACGTGGGAATCCAGCTACATAGCCATTATGCCAACTGCTGGTCCCTCCAGGGCTTCTTTACAGAGTCCACGGCTGGACAGGCTGCATACAGGGAGGCCGGCCGGCAGGGAGGGAGGCTGAGGCTGGTTCCCTCCAGTGTGCCGCCCTGCACCCCACTGTCTGCGCTGCAGCTGTTAGGACAGCCCTCGGCCCTGGCCCTCGTGAGGAGTAGACCAAACGCAGCCCGGCTGGGAGCCAGCCCAGGAGGTGGAGGGGCAGGCCACGCTAGCCTTACCCCCACCAGTTACCCCAGGGCTGGCTGCAGTCAGGTCAGGTCGGGGAGGCCAGGAAGGCCCCATGGCTGGAGTGAGGGAAGGCTCACGCGGGGCGCGGAGGGTAGAACAGTCGAGGTAGGCAGGGTCCCGGCTGGGGCTGGGGCACGCTCAGTCCGAGGGGCCTTGGCAGGCCTGGCAGTCCCGCATGTCTTCGGAGTAGTCCTCGATCTGGATGGTCATGGTGTGGAAGTGGAACTGGCCCTGCAGCCGGGCGCTGGCCGCCTTCAGCACAGCCTGGGCGTCTGCATTCGGAGCTGGGGGGCACACGGTGGGGGGAGTGCCGGAGCAGCGTTTACTCATCCCAGCCCTTAGGGACGATCAGGACCCCAGGCTCACCCCTGCCCCGTGAGCATGCAGACACCTCAGCTTCCACTCCTGCACCAGCACCCTCCAGTCCCACCCCTGTGTAACCCCCAAACGGGCCGAGCAAGCGCTGGCCTTGGGCTGGGCACCTGCCTCTGTCCCCTCTTAGCTTGGGCGCGTGACCACCCCACTCCAGCCTGTTTCTTCATGCTTCCATGGGATCGTGCCGGCCAAACGAGGGGACAGTGTGCAGGGTCCTGGGCGCAGGGCTGGCTCCAGGCATGGCACCACACAGCGGGCCATGTGGCCCCGTCAGGGATGGGTCCGGCCTCCCTCCCTCCCGCCCGGACGTCCCCACACTCACCGATGGCGATGTGGACGGAGAGCATAGGCTGGGCTACGGTCAGCGCCCAGATGTGCAGGCTGTGCAAGGCCTCCACGCCCTCCACCGACAGCAGCAGGGCCCGCACGGCCGTGAAGTCCACTCCCTTGGGAGTGCCTGGGGAGGAGGGGCGGGCTGAGGGACACTGCCCCCGCCCAGGCTCATCTGCAGGCTGGCTGCCACTCAAGCGTCACCTCCTAGAGACCTCCTTGGCCAGCAGATCCATGTGGCCCAGCTCCCAGCTCCGCCTCAGCTCGCCCACGTCCCGCTATCGGAAACTACCTCAGCTTACCGTCTGCCTCCCCCCCAAACGCAAACGCCTCGAAAGCAGGGCAGCCTGTTTCCCAGTTTCCCGAGCCCAGAACAGTGCCCGGATCATATAGGTGCTCAGTCATTTTGTTTAAAATGGGAGAAAGAAAAGAAAGAACAGGAAGTGAGACTCTGGATCCACCTGGGCATCACCACCACCATCATCCCTCCTTTGTTATTTTTAGTTTTTAGGCGTGCGTGCTTGCCAGAGAGAGACAGAAAGACGGAAAGTGAGACACCACCCCACGGGGGATGGCCACGCTGCAGTCCCTTCTCCTCTATTCTCTCAGGATTTTGGGCACGCATGCTCGCACATGTGCCCAGCGTGGTTTTCAAGCTGTGGGGTCTGGGACTTGAGCCACAGTTGGCCATATGGGGGAATCCAGCACCTTAACCACCACACCACCTGCTGGCCCCATCATCACTCTTAACTGAGACAGCCACATTCTTGGGAAAAAAGGTCTGACTTAAAGCCAGACGCTGCTGGCTAACCCAGGCAGCCACCCAGTCTGACCCCAGATGGAGCCTGACCTACCACCCTGGCCCAAGCAAGGCTCCAGAGCACAAGCCCGGCCAGTGGGCGTGGTCATTCAGGGCAGACACCGCTCCCCGCCAAGCCGCCCCTCCGAGTGCAGCCATGTCCTCCCCGGGCAGGGGCAGGCCTTGGGCCCTAAGCTGCTGTGGGAAAGGCCTGGGCCAACGTAGACCCATGGCCCTTTTCTGGGCCTCCCCGCTCTCTTCCTCAGGGCTGACACCAAGTGGCTGGGGCTGGGCAAGGGCAGGGCGGGACTCCCAGACCTACAGACACTACCCAGGAGCCACCTGACCAGACAGGGAGAACGCGCCGCAGCAGGGACGCGCAGGGGAGGCCAGGCTCGGTCTGCCCCCGAAGGCTAGCTCTACGCCCAGATCAGCCTGGGCCCCAGGAGGGTTCCAACCAGCGCCAGG